AAAGAAAGAAAGAAAGAAAGAAAGAAAGAAAGAAAGAAAGAAAGAAAGAAAGGAAGGAAGGAAGGAAGGAAGGAAGAAAGAAAGAAAGAAAGAAAAGGAAGGAAGGGAGACAAACAAGGCTTTTCTGATGAAGTGACCACAAAGTTGAGATCTAAAGAATTATTAAACATTAACTAGGTAAAGAAGAATGTAAGGAATATTCAAGACAGAGGAAACAGCCTGCCACTGAGAGGTTACTGAATTTAGTTGTGGCACAGGGAAAGGACCTAAGCAGCATGGCACTGGCATCAGCTGTCACAGCAGGGCTGCCACATCCAGTTGTGAATATTCTGCTGTGCACACAGATACCTGGCCAGGACAGAAGCAAAGGCTGCAGTCTGAGCCATGGACCTGAGGGTGGGGGAAGAGGGTAGGAGGTACAGGGCAGCTACCTAGAAGTAGAGATGCCTTTTGACAATTCTCACTTAGCCTAGCAGTGACCTTGTGTCACAGAATTAAGACTTCAAACCTCAGAAATACCAAATCATAGGAGAATACAGTACGAGCTTAAGGTGGGATGTGGGGCCTGACCAGGTAGAAAGCCCTCTGATTTGATGGCAGTATTTTAACTTGTTCAAGCAAGCTATCTGGCCTCAGTCACCCCAACCCACACCCACCCCACCCCTGAAGCTATTTCTCCGGTGTCTCAACTCAACCTTTAGGTGGGGCTGAGGGCAACACTCTGTTTTTCCACTGGAGGACATGAGTCAGTGAACAGCGAGGTTCCACTTAATCACCACCCAAAAACAACGTTCTTAAAATCAGAAGTTAGAAAAGTAAGGAAGTGATTAATACAAAAGTCAGGACCGTGAATATCCCTTGGGCAGGGTGGGTGGGTGGACCGGGAGGCCTGACGAGAAAGGGGTACATCGGGGACTTCTAGGGTCTGATAGAGCTCTATTCTTGACCTGGGTGGTGGCTGCAATGGTGATGGTTGCTTTATAATTATACTTACACAGTTTACCTACTTTTCTAAATGATTTTTATAGCTCACAATTATAAACAGCTAAAAAATACAAGCTATAAAAAGTTCTTAAGAAGGGAAAACATGAGTAGAATTTGTATTATTAAAAGATCATTTGGAGGTTGAAAAGAATATTAAGTGAAGGTGGCACTACGTTAGAAGCAGAGAAACCAGTTAGGGGTAGCTGCTATAATTTGGTGAGCAATTATGACCTGAGCTAAAAAAAAAAAAAAGCGTGAAATATTAGGGATCCGATGTACACTATTTTAAAAGATACAACCAGAGTAAAGCAGAGGGTAGTACTACCTCTTAGCTCGCTTTTTACCTTATGCTTGGGGTAAATTTATCTCAGGAATTATAGCCCAATGGCAGGCACACGTCCAAACAGACTCATGAGCTAGGACTTCCTCTTTACCTCCTCTTGGACAGCTCTACCCAAAGGACTCAGACTTCTTCATGATACCGTGACATTATCCCAGTTGAGCTGACACAAGGATTTTCTATCATAATGTCTAATCAATCAATCATCAATCAATGACAATATCTAATCATTGGAAACTACAAAGTATTTTCTATCTAGTACCAGAATTTTAGTTCTAGAGGGCAAAGGCTTTTGTTCATTTTGTTCACTATTGTATCCTTGGTGTCTACATCCAAAATTGGTATATAGTTAAGCGCTCAATAAACATTAATGAATGACCACTTTTTTTTTTTTGAGATGGGGGTCTCAGTAAATTTCTCAGGCTGCCCTTGAACTCACAGTCTTCCCCGCCTCAGGTGCCAGAGTAGTTGGGACTGCGGACATAACACCAGCATGCCCGGCGCATACCTATTACTGTTATTTAATCATCACAACAATCTTGTGAGGATAGGTAAAACATAAGTTATTATCCTCATTTTATAAGTTAGAAAACAGAGATTTGGGAGATTAAGGAATGTCAAATAGCTGATACTTTGACTGATGACACAATCAGTTCTCTTGATTTCTTCCCCACTTCATACCTGAAGAGCTGAGGTTTAAAGTTCTCATAGCTCTGTAACACCAACAAGAAGCATTTCAAAACACATGATAGGTACTATCAGACGGCTGGTGTTATCTGATGTGCCAGGTTATAGGGTGAATGAGGCCTACCCAACCTCCATTGCACCAATAACCACAGTTCCCTCAGAGGATAGGTATTGTTTCCCTGGGTAATCAAATCCACCTGACCCGAAGCAACCTTGTACTCCTGTTTCTCTCCACCTTCCTCACTGTTTCTATACCTGCATCTCTAAACAGTAGAAGTTCATGAAACCTGTTATTGCAAAAAACACATGTTCCACATTTTTTTTCATAGGAAAAAGAAAAGAGGAAAGTATGGGAGCCTGAGGCAGGAGGATTGCAAATTCAAGGCCATCTAGGCTACATAATGAGGCCAGCTTGGCCTACAGAGCAAGACCTGTTCAACACCACCCCCTCAAAAAAAAAAAAAAAAAAAAAAAAAGAAAGAAAGAAAAGGAAAACGTGGTAATGGAGAGTTTGGGTGCTCTGTAAAAACATCTGGCACCCAAATGGAATCCCATGGAGAGACTAAAAACATAATGTTCCATAAAAAGTTAATCTTGGTCTCTTTCCCCTTCATGTGAATTACCATTTTAATTTGAAGCATAAGCCACAACTCAGATACTTAGGGAATGCTGGATCTTCAGTTAATATTTAGTATTAATCTGGAGTTGTATATGTCTCCCTTAGGATTCCTAGACAAACTCCAAAAGTCCTGCAAACAAAATACTAAAACCAGTATTTTTGAGAAAAGCCTCAAAACGCTCAGAGAAATCAAATTTTCAGTTTGCTTCCTTCAAGGTCTCATGGTCACTTTATCCCAAGAGGAAGTTGGTCCAGGAGCTAGAGACCACCACAGCTGGTATAATAGTGTCTGCAGCTACTCCAAGAGTGTCACACACAGGACTCACCAGAAATTCATTCGCAAACTTCTCTTTGTTAATTTTCTTGTTTTGGGCCTCATCCAGGAACTTCTGCAGGATTTCTAGCTGGTCCATGCTGCAGACCAAAAGAAAGAGTCTGTGAGCAGGTTGAGGGAGGGCATGTCAAATGTGTGTCATGGCCGAGACGACACCGAAGCCACTGTTGCCGCCCGAGCACAGCATGCTGAAGGCTGTGGTTTACTGACTTCATCACAAACCCTAGAGGAAATTAGTACGAAACCAGCCTCTGTGGTCACACAACAAAGCCATCAGCTCACTCCAGGGCCCTAGCGCCTTCCTTCTCAACAAAAGAACCTGGTACAACTCAAGTTTTTTAACAAACAAAAGGCCAACCAAAACATACAGCATGGTCTGCTGACCTGTGAGACCGTTCAGCTCCATCGCCTTTAAGCAAAATTCACCCAGATAGAATTACAGGTCTCATGGATGAATTCTGCCTCTCCCCATTTCCCCAGTGAACACAAAAGCCCTGTGAATGACACGGTGTCCTTGATCCCAAATGAACTCTGCAAAGTGCAGTTAGGCCCAGAAAAGGAGAGAGACGCTGGCGTTCCATAGCTTCTACCCGGACTGTTCTCCCCAGAGTTTCTTGTCAGCAGGATGGGTGGCAAACTTCTGTTCATCAGAGAAGGCATCTGTTTTTTCAAAACTGGGTTTTTTTTTTCCCCTCTCTGGCACTGGGGGTTGCATGTAAGTCTTCGTGTTTGCTAGGCGATTGCTCTACCACTGATCTACATTCTAACTATTCAAAAACAAACAAAAAAAATTTTTTTGAGACAGGTTCTAAGTTTTCCAGCCTGGCCTTGAACTTATGATATTCTTGCCTCAGCCTCCTGATCATACACTACCATGCCCAGCTTATTCTGAACTTTTTAGTTTGCCATATAGACCTCAAATTCTCCTTTGATGAAGCAAACTCAGCTGCTTCTAACAGTCAGTGTCTCTCTCAGGACTGGAGAAAACCTGACCACAATTAAGGGAAGTGCAGTCGAGCCTCACTTGGGTTCTGAGTGTAAAGACCAACGGTGCTGCTCTGTATACGATCAGGAGAAGCTGGCCCCACCAACAGCACCTGACAGGGCAGTCAGCCTACTATCCTCGGATTGTAACACTGGCAAACTGTGGAGCAACAAAAAGAAAGTAAATCAACTATCTTGCTGACAATGGTATAACTTCTAGGTCAGAAAGCCTGAAGAGAACCTCACACCTATACTCCAAGCTATTTAGGAAGCTGAGGCAGGAGGATTACTTGAGCCCATGAATTTGAGGCTACCCCAGGCAACACAGAGAAGCCTCATCTAAAACAAACAAACAAACAAACAAACAAAACCAAAAACCCAAAAAAAACTTGAAGAATGGTTTCTCTACAAAGACATTTTTATTTTGCAACTTGTCTTGGGAAAAATATTGTTTCAGAAAGCCATCCTGTGCATGTGGCTTTTTGGTCCGAACAAGGAGGCTGTTCTAGGAAAAGCTTCCACATCGCCGCTTGCATAAATTTTTCTCTTCCATGGGTACAAATCCACCAACATCTCAAAATCAGCACATTATTTTTGTTTGAGGGTAGAAGTTCAACAAATAATACGTTAACAAGATTCGTCTAAAGTAACTGAAGAAATTCAGGAACATGTTGTTTAGACTTCCTCTATTTAGGATATTAGTAATCTTTTCTGTTTTTGAGACATTATTCAAACTCCTTCAGGAAATCATGCTTCTGTACACTAAAGAGGCTGCACCCTCTTTACTGAGCAAGAATTTCAATCCCAGCCCACAAAAATTAAAATGAGCCATAATTCTTCAGCAATATTTGTTGGAAGTCGGATAATATTTGTCAGATTATCTACATGTAGCATTAAAGGAGAATTTCTTGCTGCCCTACTGTTTGACTATTTTAAAACATACAAAATATGGGAAAATGTTATGTACAAAAAACACTTTCAAGGTCACAGTAACTAAAACCATACAAAATATCTTAGTGAAGACTAAAAGATGCAAAAAGAATCAACTGTGTGTGATGGAATTAAGAATTCTTTTAAAATTTTATACTATTTTTTAATGAGAAAAAAAAATCCAAATCCATTAATTTTCCCAACAAATTCACTAAATGCAAGCACTATGTTAGGGGCTACATATACAGCATAAGCAAGCCAAAATATGGTGAAAAACATCCTGAACTAGTTTTAAAAAAAAAAAGGGATCTCACAAGCTGGGCGTGGTGGTGCATGCTTGTAATCCCAGCACTTGGGGGGCCGAGGCAGGAGGATTGCCAAGAGGTAGAGGAGAAATAAATAGGAAATAGGAAAGAGAGACTTTTGTAAATGCTGCCTGAGTGTTTTTATCCAAAAGCTAAGGTACTGTAATTAATGTCGTATTAGAACTGCAGGATTTTTTTTTTTTTAAGCAAGATGCAATTCTTAGGTGTTTGCTGTACTGTAAAACCAAAAGATATAGAAACCTTGTAAAATAACTAAACCTCAAAAACGCGCTTAGCTACAAGGCCATTTCCTGAGCAGACCACTCAAGTGAGCACAAAACAAACTGAAGGAGAAAACAAAAAAAACTTCAGCTTTATTTTTAACAAATCTAAGCTACTACTTAACTTGTCACTCTTCCTTCTACAGATACTGGACAGCGGTAGGAGCATGCTTTTCAATGAATATAGCATTGAGTCATTTGTATCTTGTGGGAAGATCAAGAGCTAGGGAGGGGAAACAAGTCATGCTGGCAACTAACTAAAGGAATTTAAGAATTTACGATGAAACATGTAAATCAGTCTGGCATAAATCATAAGTGAACACAACGATTCCATGCAGTAAAAGACTCACACTTTGCCAAATCCATCAAGGGTGAGCAGTAGGAAGGAGTGAAGTTGTAGATAAGTACCTGGAGGAGCCAGGAAAAAGCCACACCCCACTGGCGCCTCTTGTGTTCAGAAGGAAGAAAACAACAGATAAGAGGGCAGTCATGCTGGCTCCAACTGGAGGGGAATGTGCCAGTTCTACAGGGGGAGACATCAGTGTCACAGGTTAGGTATTCGACAATAAAAAAAATTAAAGAGAATTTCAGGAGCTATTATTAAGGAAAGATAAACTAGCCATAGGAAAAACACTCCAGATTCTCAGAACATCTTTCTCTGTCTGTAGGAAGGCATGTTTTATCCAAAGCTATTTATCCAATCTTAACTTTACTTTCACTATTCTCACCTTTTCCTACATCCCAGGGCCACTGATTTTTTATTGTTTTGTTTTGTTTTTGAAGCAGAGTCTTACTTTGTAGTTCAAACTTGAGGTGTCTATGTAGCCCAGGCTGGTCTCAAACTTGTGTCAACTCTTCTACCTCTGCCTCTCGAGGGCTGGGATCACAGGTGTGCACCTCCACATCCGGCAGCCATTGATTTAATACAGGCTGTATGTATCATCTATGTAATAGTCTTCTGTAGCATTCTTTTGGTGACCAGGGCCTATGGATCCTTACTCTTCAATCTCTTTTAGATTCAACTTGTCTTTTCCATTCCCTTGTTAGCCACCATTCCTGTTTTAATGTTTTCCTGTGGCAACATATTCTTAAATGACCTATCTCTATATATCTTCCATTCTATATCTTCTGGCAATCAAACCTGGATGAAAATCCTTAAAAATCTCACTTTCATTCTAAACAATCAAAATACTTACCAATAGGCTGTGGGAACAAATCCAGATTCCTCAGCTTGGCACCAAAATTCTCCTTTTCACTTTACCCCTAATTTTCACCAGGGTGAAAATAAAGCCCAGTTACTTTTCCTTCAAAACTCTTTCCCCTAACTCCATCTGATTATGATCTTTTCCTAGTCTGAATCCCCACAATATAAGTCTTTATATGTGACTATAGGACACTTTTCTTAGTTTCTTCACATGTTCTTTGTTTCCTGTAAGTTTATTTAAGAGGAGTTTTTCCAAAGAGGATATGTAAAATGCCCCCCTTTAGTTTTAGATTTATCAAAGGCAATGGTACTATAATCTATGCATTTGTATAACCCACAGTGGTTAACATGATCTTAAACATACCAAAAATAAGTCTGCTGTGATTTAGTAAGCTATATTATATGGTCATGCTTTGGTGAGAAATGCACTGAGTTGGTTATTCAGTACATCAGTTATTCCAGGTCTTTTGCCTAGTTCAGCACACAGTGTATGCTTCCGGTCTGGCTGGGCACTGTCACTCTGTTAGGAGCTGGGCTGCCCCTACGGGGAGGCCGAGGTACCTGGCAGAGAGTTTTTCCCTGATGCGGCTGTCCGAGCAGCCAGGCTGTTGTTATGAGAGGAATGGTGTCTTTCCTGAGGTTTGGAGTCCAGCTCACAAAGGCCATGATTGACCTCATTTACCTCCAGAGTAGACTTGTTTCTCCTTTTATAAATGGATACAGAAAAGGCTTATATAATACCTCCATGAAGCTTGCTCCATTTGTTTTTGCATCATCCACAACAGGAAAGTCCCCTACTTATCTTCCGTTCTGCTTCTTGTCACTAAACCGTTCTGAGATCACCAAGCCCTTCAATTCACCTGCTGTAGACTCCACAGTCCCTCCCCACATACCACACAGGGAACTGTACTCTGCCTTTGGTTTCAGAATACTGAGAGGCAAAGGCTAACTGATAACTTGCAAATGAAACAATTTACCTTAAAAAAAAAAAAGAATCAAGACTCTTGGTAAAGCTTGTCATCTTGTTCAAAATATAATCAAATCTGGTATCTCATCTCAATCAATCACTTATTCACTTAGTGAGTTTATAATATTCATATATGTGCAAAAGAATGAAGAAGTGTGCTACAGAAATGTTCACAAACTGTGTCAGTCAACTGTATCATCCTTTCTTCCTATAGAAACAAGAAATGCACATCTACAGTCTAAGGCTGTTTGTGATAAGAACCATAAAAAAGATCTAAAAAAAAGTTTGAGGAGGCAAAGATCAATTTTTTCCAGCTTATCTAGATAGCCTTAATGGAGGAAGTAGCAATCGAATTGGGTCTTTAAAAAATAGAAAGGAGTAGGAGAATTTTAATTCCAGCAAATGGTTCAGTTTTACCAACACATTGGTTTTGTAGAGAGGAATCATGATTTATAAGGCTAGTAAGGGTAGCCATGATCAGACCCTGGGGAAATTTGAGTCCCAGGCTGACTTTATTTAATGGAAAACAGGAAGCCAAGAAACATTTTAAGCAACTTTATTAAGGTATGATACACAGGAAGACATACATGTTAAAATGTACAATTTGGTAAGTTTTGAGATGTGCATTTACCTATGAAGCCATCACCACAACTAAGATAATGAACATATTCAATCACCCTCAATAATTCCATGTAAGGATTTTAAGAACATGGTGATCAAAGCAATGCTTTTGGAAAGTGTTTCTAGATTTAAAAAAAAAAAATGCCCCATCTGGTAAATTCATTTACATCTCATAATCTCTTTCAGTAGTATGTTAAATTCAAAAATTAATTTTACCATGTGGAAAAATAAACCAAACCACAGCTTTTATCCATCTGGTGGCAGTGGATAGGACAAACTGAAATCCGGCAGGAACAGGACGACAACAGGACAGTGAACTGAAAGCATAAGTGGGAGGCTTAACCAATAGGCAGGGCAGGTTGTAATACAATCCGGCGGGAAGAGTCAGGGCAAAGAAGAAAGAACAAAGGAGAAAAACTAATTAAGTGGTTGAGACTGGTGAAAGGAAAAAGACAAAAAGGTTTTGAGCTTGTTGGATGGGCAACCTGGAAGAGTATGGAATAAGAACAACGCAGAGAAATAAGCAATTAGATAGAGTTTGTGGCTCTGGATTTAAGAAAGGAAATAAACCATATGTAGGAATCAGTTACATTGAGGTGACATTAAAACCATAAGATTGACTCACATCCGTGAGAGACAGAATTAATAGAGAAGAAAAGTCAAGCTAGAATCTTCCACTGGTCTAACCCTTTTACAAAATATATTTTTTCATTTATTCCTTACAAATGCAGCATGAAGTGGTTACAAAATCTGTTTTAACTGGGCGTGGTGGCCCACACTTGGAATCTCATCATTTGGGAGGCTGAGGTAGGAGGATTGCCATGTGTTCCTGGACAACACAGTGAGTTCAAGGTCAGGCTGAACTACATAGCAAAACCCTGTCTCAAAAAACAAAGCAAAACAAAACAAATCTCTTCTATAGTTGTGGAAACTAAGGCACAAAGGAATTAGGTCACTTGCCCAATGTTACATAATTTGTCTGTGGTGAAACTAAATTGTTAAAAGAAGGCAATCTGAATGCACTGTTAATCTCTAGGCTACAGTGCCTTCTTCAGCAGCCCACTCAAGCTTTCCTAAAACAGGGTAGCCCAGCAAAACACACACGGTCAGGCCAGAGCTGCTTTACCCATTTGCCTGGTGTAATCCCAAGGAGAACCATATCTTCTAATCTGAAGAAACCACAGTATAATTGGAACTAAATTCATACTCTGTTTTTTTGTTTTGGTACCAGGGATCGAACTCGGGTCCTTGTGCTTGCACAGCAGGTGGTGAAACCACTGAGCTAAATCTCCGGCCCCCATACGTTGTTGTTTTAAGGGCAATGTAGAATAAACAGGAAATTGACATGGTAAGAAGGGAAAAAAGGAGGGGGGCGCTGCTCGCCTTGGACATTTATCACTCAGTTTGCATTGCATTTGCTGAAATTCAGTTCAAATGCACAGACAGAAGAATTTTACTTCATAAACCAACCAGCATTAGTCAAAGTGAAAATAGAGGTCAAATACCACAAACTCACCATCTTGACTTCACAGCAAAAGGGACAAAGGAGTATATCAACTATCGTGGCAGCAAAAAAAAAAAAAGCTAATTTCTACTAAAGAAATCTCACTTCTGGGTTATTAACCTATTTTAATTTACCCAGGAATTCAGGAAATAAGCATCTATTGGGAAAGTACAAAAATATATTAACAGCATCACATATTTACTTCTTGGCATATAGAAAAGTCACGGAGGTGGCTCACTGAAGGAGGGAGGGGAGTAGTAAGTAGTTAAACTTTAGCCAAAGTCACCAATACCTCCTTTCATGAGTAGACACAGCAGTGTATTCTTCCTGACATTCAGGTAAGTATTGTGGTTTTTGGAATCTGTACCTGACGCCTGCCTGCTAATCTGTTGGATTATTAAGGACTACTTTGAGATGCTCAGATCGTAGAAACCGTGAGCTTTGCTTCCAGTCTGTCTCACTTGTAAGGCCAAAGTCATGCATAACTTCTGTAGGTTACTCAGGAGCCACAGAGCTCTCTGGTTGGCTAACAGCCCTAGAAAAAACATGGACTATCTGAGAAAAATACTTCCAAACTAAGTTTTTAAAAGTTAAGTGTCTTTGAGTTTAAATCCTATTTACAACTGTGTTTTTAGGAATTGTAAGGATTGTAACACTTTAAATTATGCAAGGAGAAATAAATGTTCATTTAGCTTTAGAGCAGGGATCAGCAAACTCTTTTCATAAAGGGCCAACTAGCAAATATTTTAGACTTGATAAACTGCATGGTGTTTGTCAAAACAATTCAATTCAGCTACTGTAGTGTGAAAGCAGCCATGGACAGTACATGGAAAATGAAACGTTGCTACATTCCAGGAAAGCTTTATTTACATACAAAGATAGCAAGCTAGATTTGGCTTGTGGTCTGTAATTTGTCAACTCCTGCTCTAAAGTAATGATTTTCAAACTTTATGTGTATCCAGATTGCACATGGAGTTGAAAAGGTGGCTTCCTAGGCCCCAGCCAGCCCCTGCAGAATCAGAACTACTAGGAACAAGGCCTGGAGATCAATAGTTTAATAAAGTCCAAGTGGCATGTGAACCTTACTTTAAAAAGCTCTGAGGTCTGCAGCCAGCTTCAGCTAAGCTGGGAGTGCCCTACTGTCCTAGATACAGTCCAGTACTTCCCACATCCTGTGGCAATAGAAGTATAGTAACTTTTATCTTTGCCCTTTGTAGAAAGGTAGATGATGGGCTGGGGATGTAGCTCAGTGGCACCGTGCCTGCCTGGCAAGTGCAAGGTCCTGAGTTCAATCCCTGTTACCATAAAAAAAAAAAAAGAAAAAGAAAAAGAGAGGTAGATGAACAAACTGCTACTTTGCTACTTTTGGTTTCCAACCTCTACACTTCATGAAATAAATTCAGCTTAGATGAAATTAACATGAAACTTAGGGATGAATCTGAAAGAAAATCCTTAACTTGAAATAAGAAATTTTCAACCAAAAATCTCCCTGAAATTCTTCAGATTACAAAATTAGTAGACAAAATCCTACCAAAAGGACAAAGTTAAAACTAGAGGAGTAGTTTTCAGTCTTCTGTTTTCTCCACAATATCTCCAGCAAAGACCTGGTTGTTGGCTGGAATTTCACTAATAAATCATTATATTATGTATGGATGTCTTTGTTTCAACAAAACTTCATTAAAATTCATGTAAAAACAGAAAGTGTAAAATCTCTGTAGTCTTCAGGGAGCTATTTCCAATTTTATCAGCAGGAAGTAATTTATTCAGCAAAGTACAGTTCTGATTAAATGAAGAAAGTGGTTTTTAAATTTGTTTTAATTGCCAGAAATCAATCAGCTGATCAAAGAAGTGAAGCTCAGTCAAGAATAATTCAATTTAGGGCCAGAGATTTAGCTCAGTGGTTCTGCCACCTGCCTTGCAAGCGCAAGGACCCGAGTTCAATCCCCGGTACCAAAAAAAAAAAAAAAAAAAAAAAAAAAAAGAATAAGTCAACTTCTTCAACTCTCCAGATTTTCCTATGGAAACAATGAAAATCCTACAATCAAATGGATGGTTTTTAGAAATCGGGAATAATCTGCAGATACCGCCAGAGAATACAGCTCTTACTAAAGTTCCTGCCCATCCAAGATATGGAGAGAAATACTCTAAGACAGCAGAAGTTATGCTTCCTCCTGTTACCACTACCAGTTGAGACAAACTGCTTTTTGTTAGGTAATATTAAGATGATTCTGAACTTCTTCAACACACACCTAAGGATTTTAAGGAAAGAAAACCCAGAAATTTACCAATGAGCAGAGTTTAGCCAGGCTGAGGCTAGAACTCCATCAACAATATACTTTATAGACGTTTATGTGTAGAAAGTGGGGATTAGCTTTAATAAGTAGTCAACATTTTAGGCAGCATGCCTTTGGAATTCAACCCCCACAGGGTGAGCTTCTGTCTATTCATCTCTTCCATGGCAACAAAATCCTGCAAATTAAGGATGCCTGTTTTCCTGGTTGGTTTCCTACTCCCAAAAGGGGTCATAAATAGAGTCTCAGGTATTAATACCAAGAGTGCAAATGTCTAGCAAAGCCAGGAACCCAACACACTTACCCACCCTCCCTGGCCCTGGATGAACTCACGGATGGCTCTGTTTCCATTGATCATATTTATCACAGGGATAGCCACCTGTTTTACCACTTCAGGAGCTACACGGGCCACACACTCAAGAAGTTTCACTGACACACCCAGAAAGGCTTTCTCATAAGCGAGGCTGGAATCCAGAGCACACCAGGCCTTACTGAGAGACTGCACTGTGTGCTGGAGTACAGCTCCTGCCTGAGGAGAGAGAAAGGGTATATCAGTAAAATATCACTCAAAAAGTGTAGGAGGCTGTAGTTCAGATATCCAGTAACGTGTGTTGCAAATGGAGTTTGCAAATGGACAAGGAGTTGCGAATGGACCTGAGGTAATATCAGGTGGTAGATGGATGAACTTTTCTCACTTTAATATTGTTATTTTAATGAGTATTATAAAAATATGTAAGTAGCCCATCAAATCCATGATTTCAGATATTATTGCTTAGGATGAACAAAATGAAAGAAAAATAAAATGATCTGAAAGAAAAACATTAAGTATATGATAACATAATAGATCAAATTGTAAAGGTGTTACTTCCACAAGTAGGAAATGTCCAGGAAACTCTTTAAAAAGTTAGCCCTATGTTTTTCCTCTTTCCCTTTGCAAACAGTTTGGTTCAAAAGCTATTAAATGAGGCCAACAAAGACCTTCTGGGGTGTAGGGGACAAAGAATGGTCAGAGCAGGGTGTCAGAATTCAAACAAGCTGAGAAGAGAATCCATACAGGAAAGTACCTAGGTCTTAGTTTCTACAAATTATGCTTTCATTAAAGGAAACTAGAGCTTCTGGGAGCATGCCAAAGGACAAGATCTTCTGTTAGAAATTAAGAAAGTAGGGCCAGGGATTTAGCTCAGTGGCACTGCACCTGCCTCACAAATGCAAGGTCCTGAGTTTGATCCCTGGTAGTGAGAGAAAGAAAAGAAAAGAAAAGAAAAGAAAGAATGAATTTGTAGAAAAATGGATATACCTCAAGACCATCATGTTAAATGAAATAAATCAGACACAGAAGGTTAAATATTGCATATTTTCTCTTACATGGGAAGCCCAAAGTTAGAATAATTTAAAGAGCAAAATAAGGGGCAGATGATAGAAAACAGGGAGATAATCTATATGGAGATGGGAAGAAAATTTGAGGATGGGGGAAGATGGGAGAGAGAGGAACGGAAAAGTAAAAAGAAGAAGCCAAAAGAATTTTGACATTAAATATTCTCATTTTCAAAAAGGAAAGAAATAAAGGAACTACTCAAGCCAGCATAATGGTGCATGCCTATAATTCCAGTATTCTGGGAGGTTAAGGCAGGGGGATCAAAATTTGAAATTTAATAATATCTCATCTTTAAAAAAACTAGTGAGGGTGGGGATGTAGCTCAGTGTGAAGGTCCTGGGTTCAATTTCCAATCCAAAAGAAAAGGAAGTACTCAAATCTCAAAACATGATATAGACACATCAAAAAGACACAGTCCTGATTAAAAAGAAAAAAAGACTCCTTCCAACTAAATATGAAACTATTTGAGCATCTAAATAAATAATGACAGTAACAGATAATAACCCATTGAATAAAGTAGGAATTCATAGGTCTATACTGATATAGAAATGAACAGATTGAAATTTTAATGAATTATGAGATATTCATATCGTTTTTAAAAAAAAACATTACTTTTTCTTTTTTTATTATTAGTTCATGTTTATATTACATAATGTTTACATTTCTTGTGTGGAGTTGGAGTTATGTGTACCTAACACATCTTAATTTCTATTCCAGATTGAAGGATACTGAAAGGACATAAGAACTAAATGTATTATGTGACTCTGGCCTAGATCATTTTGCTATAAATGATATTATTGGGACAAGTGGCAAAATTTGAGTGTGATCTAAGAATTAGATAATATATCATATTAATTTCCTGGTCTTGTTAGATTGTGGCTGTATGGGAAAAAGAAAATATTAAAGTATTAAGGGGTGATAAAATATCATGCCAGTTACTTATTCTCAATGATTCACGAGATAAATTCCTTCTATCCTTGTAACTTTTCTATGAGTTTGAGGCTCTTTCAACTTTTAAAAATTTTAAAAAAAAATTTAATTTATTTTTTATTTTATTTTATTTTATTTTTTTGGTACCAGGGATCAAACTCTGGTCCTTGTGCTCGCGAGGCGGGTGGCAGAACCACTGAGCTAAATTCCCAGCCCTCAACTTTTTATTAATAAGAAAGAAAAAAGTAGACTCGGCTACCTGTTACTTAAGACAGCCTCAGCACAAGCAGTTGGCAGTAACAGATCCAGTTCTGTCTGAGGACAGAGTGGCTGTCCACCCCATCTGTGTTCAGTGGGAAGAATAAAGCACACGGTTAAGATGTGCTTCTAGGATCAGTCTTGGTTCAAATCCTAGCTGACCTATTTACTTGTTTCCCTATGCCTCCGTTTCCTTTTCTGCTGACATGGTATCAAGTCAGGAAATACTTCCTGAGAGTATATCGTATATCAGGTACTGTTCAAGGTCACATGAATACAGCAGTGAACAAAACAGATGTTTGCTCTCAGATGTTGGCTCCCATGGTGCCATTTGCAGTTGGAGTGAGATGGCTCTTGGGATAACAGTTTCTGTGATAATTCACTCAGAGGTATAATGATTAAGTGAGATCCTAATGGCACATACACTAAGGTGAGTTAATATTAGCTGTTATTATTGATATTAATCTGCAACATCTAGAATATTGTCTTATGTTCTTTATATAAATAAAGACTCCAAGTGCTACCACCGGTAATCAGGATTCTGATGAAACACCAGTGGGCTTAGCAGGGCTTATCCCTAGCTGTATCATACTTGTAAACTGCCCATCTTCTGTATCTACTTCATTGCTGAATCCTGGGGGGGAGGGGGAAGATGCCTACCCTCAACAAAATAAATATTGAAACATGAACAAAAGATATTTTGCCAAGAATAAAGTTCTATGTGCTCACTAAGCACAGCTCTGAGGAATACCAAGTGGAACAAAACTAAAAGTTGATCATTCCCTGCCAAGAGTTTCCATCTCTATACCACACAGGTTTTGATTAACTCCCAAAGAACCGGAAGTTAGCATTTCCTGCTGTATCTCCCCAGATGAATATAAGATCCCAAACCTCTCACAGAACATTCATACTCATAGTACATAGGAGTAGGAAGAAAAGGAAATTTAAAATAGGATAGGGCAGCAAACAATATAAGAGGTAAAAACCTTACTTGTCCCCGAGTAGTTTCTGCAATGACATTTCTGGGAGAAGCCTCTATTTCTCCGTTGAACTGGTCACCTATCATCCGAAGTCATCCAACAATGACAGCTTCATCAAAAGAGGAAGCCTCTCCTAAGACAGAAGAAACACATTTGCCACAATGCTTGAAAGGATGGAAATTCTCAGGAATCTGAACAATAGGGATAATTCTCCGGTCTGACAAACAATTTTGGCATTGTTCTATCCCAAGAACTTCAGTGTTCTGTCAACATCAATAGTCATCAATAGTAAAAAAATCTCCCTTTAATGAGAATCTCTTTCTCTTCAAGTGTTGCTAAAAGCTAAGCAATTGCCTTTCCAAAGTTAAGAGGAAATAAAGAAAGCATACTCAAGTTCTCCTATTGATTTGAGAATAGGCCAAAAACCTTACCTGAGTCTGGTTCATCTACACTGCATAGGTTCTGACTAGCAACCCCTACAGTTGGACTCAATAAGTCTGTGATTAAAGTGTTGATGATGCATTCTGTTTGCTCCTCAAAAGTTCAAGGACTGTTCATTTTAGATGTTTGCTGCTGAGTTTTGCTCTTCCACAAAACAAGCAGTTTTAGCTCAGTAGCAAGATAGAAACACTGGTAAACTAGCACATGTGTCTACCTCTTGCAAACTTTCCTAATTAGACACGTAGTCCTTGGATTTTTTCTACCAGCTTTCCTCAAAAATACTTGTTCAGAAAAGTGGAACTTCTCTTAAGAGCTTACTGACACAGAACTAAGGAGACTTTTGAAAACTTTCAGTTCCTTATCTCAGAACCACACCCTAGCCAATACACATTGCTAATGAATAACTTGTATTCTTGCATAGCCAATTTAGAACTGAAATCAAGTTGAGGAAGAGTCTCTGGGGGTAATTTCATTAAGAAATACTTCCTAGGCCGGGGATTTAGCTCAATGGTTCCGCCACCTGCCCTGCAAGCACAAGGACCCGAGTTTAATCTTCCCAGTACCAAAAAAACCCCACAACTTCCTATTAGGTTCTGTGTATGGTGTAATTTAAAAGGAAAGTTTTGAAGTTACAATATATTTATTGTAATTCAACTTAAATATAATATATTTGAATGAATTAAATGTAATTCATTGCATTCAACTTTTTACTATGGTACATATTTGCCACAATCTTATACAATGACTGAGCACCTATGGTGCAAGGAACTAAGGCAGAAAAATGATGTTTGTGGTACTTATATTTCAGCAGAAATGACAGCTATTAATTGATAAATCACAAATTCAGTAATTTCTTATGCTTTTGAGATACATGTAGCATGAGAGTATAATAGGGAAAAATACTTACAGGGATTGTGAAAGCTTCTGTAGGATAGTAACACAGCTGAATGAGGGCTGAAGGATAAATTGGGATCCATTAACCAAGACGGGAGAAATAGGACCATTTGAGATGGAAGTGGGGTAGCACAAAGAAAATAAAGATAGGTTAAAAGGAGACAAGGAGATTGTAATTTTGAAGTTGTTATTTTAAGATAACTACAGCTTTGAAACACAATCAAACTTACTCAAGGTTACAATGCTTTTTTTTAATCTGTAGGACTGTTTTTCTTCCAGGCTCTTTACTCCTAAATCTCTAAGGGTCTTAAAAATATAACAAGTACATAAATATGGCTTGTATTTTTCTTCTGATATATAAATTCCAAAGACTTCTACTCTCAAAGAAATAGTACTATTAATTGGGTACCACATCTCCAAACTTCAAACACATACAAATGGTTTGGATTTAACCTGGTTGAGAAAGCCAGTTTTGTTTTGTTTTGTTTTGTTTTTTGAGACAGGATCTTGCTTTGTAGTCCAGGCTAGTCTTGAACTCACTGTGCAGCCCAGGTTGGCCTCGAACGCACAGCGATCCTCCTGCCTCAGCCTCTCAAGTGTGGGATTACAGGCATGCACCACCATCCTGGCTGATAAAGCCAGTTTTTGCTTTAGCCCTCTAAAGAACAGCCTGACGGTAAGGACACAGACAGTAGGTGAATGATAAGTAACTCAAAAGATAAACATCCCAGATCACTTGTCCTGAGGATACCCTGGACAACATAAATACCCCCATCCTAGCCTTACTGCACGCCATCCCTTGAGGACCTGCACTCTTTGTTGAGTGCTGGGGCTAGAGCCCAGGGCCTTCCCACTGAGCTACATCCTCATTCCTTTGCATTATTTTATTTTATATTTTTGGTTTTTTGAGACAGGGTCTCATTTTGTAGTTCAGGCTGGTCCTCAACTCACTATATAGCCCAAGCTGGCCTTGGAACTCATGGCAATCGTCCTGCCTCAGCCTCCCAAGTGCTGGGATTAGAGGCATGTGCCACCACTCCCCACTCCTTTTTATTTTTTATTTTGGGACAAAGTATTGCTAAATTGCCCAGGCTGGGCTTGAACTTGTGATCCTAACAATCCTAGATTGCTGAGATTTTAGGCATCAAACACCATACTCAGCTGAATGCACATTTTTTTTTTTTGTACCTAGGATAGAACTCAGGACCTTACGCTTGTGAGGCAGGGGTGGTGCCACTGAGCTACACCCCCAGCCCTGATTGCATACTTTTTGATTTTTGCCTAATATCTAGATGCTTCTCACTGACACATTCTGAAACGCTTTTCTGTGATGATGAGTCAAGAACTTTGCCCTGAAGCTGAGCATGGTGGTACATGCCTGTAAACCCAGCATTCAGGAGGCTGGAGTTCAAGGTCAGCCTGGGCTATATAATGAGTTCAAGGGCAGCCTGAATTACATATGGGACCCTATCTCAAAAAACAAAAAACAAAAAGAAAAGAAAAAAGAACTAGCTGGGGTAAATCAAGGTCCCTATGTCCTCTTTGTGCAGGTCTCTTTTGATCCCATCCAGTGACAGAAGGGGTGGCAGATATAAAAAATAGAAAGATGAGAAAAAATACAATTAGGCATTAGAGGAATTATGAATAGTGATAATACAAAGTATTTTATAGGAAAACTATGAGAATGAAATAAGATAATGTTATATGGTATGCACTGGTATGATACCAAACAAAAAACAAAAAAAACAAAGGGGTTTTCCTAAAGGACTGAACTCCACTATTGTTTTAAGAGATTTTGGGATTGGACACTTACTGTGGTGGTTTCCTTAAGGTAGTAAACCCAGACACATAAACAGTGAGTCAGTTGTTTAAAATGGAATTTCTGTTTTCTTTTTTTTTTCCCTGAGACAGGGTCTCACCGTGTAGTCTGGGCTGGCCTTGAACACACTATGTAGTTTATGGTGATCCTCCAGTCTCAGCCTCCCAGGTACTGCGATTACAGGCATGCACCACTATGCCCAGCCAGAATGGAATTTCTGTATTGCAATATAATCAGAACCAATCTTTGTGTTCTCTTCTACTCTTTAAAAAATGACTATTATATACTTATTAGAATGGACAAGATCCAGAACACTGATGATACCAAAGGCTGGTAAGGATTTGGGGCAACAGGAACTCCCTTTCATTGGTGGTAGGAATGCAAAACAGCACGGCCACTTTGCGAGACAACTGGCAGGGGTTTTTGGTTTGTTGTTTGTTTTGTTTTTTTGGTACTAAAAAAGGAATGGCCTTTGCCCTGACCTACATCCCCAACCCTTTTCATTTTTTGAGACAGAGTTTTGTGATCCTCCTACCTCAGCCTCTGAGAGTGCTAGGATTATAGGTGTGTACCACACCCAGCTAATTTGGCAGTTTTGTATAAAACTAAACATAAGGTAATTGCTTTACCATAAGATCTGGTAATTGTACTCCTTAGTATTTACCTAAAAGGATGAAAATTTATGTCCATATAAAAACCTGCATTGAGTACATTTATGAAAGGTTCATTTATAATTACCCAAATGTGGAGGCAACTGAGATGCCCATCAGCAGATGAATGGATAAATAAACTATGGTACACATTGACAATGGGATATTACTAAGCACTAAAAAGAAATGAATTATTAAACTATGAAAACACATAGTGGAATTTGGATAACTGTACTTTGGGTGATAGATAATTGATGAGGGAAATCCATTTGTTTTAATGAATGTATCACTTTGGTTGGGAATGTTAATGAGGGAAGCCATGCATATATGGGGACAGAGGGCATATGGGCAATCTCTGTACTTCTCTCTTGGTTTTACTGTGAATCTAAAATTCTTTTTTGGGGGGTCCAGGGATTTAGCTCAGTGGTTCTGCCACCAGCTTTGCAAGCACAAGGTCCTGAGTTTGATCCCCGGTACCCCGGTACTCTGGTTGAGACAGGATCTTGCTATGTAGTTCAGGCTGGCCTTGAAATCACTGTGTAACCCAGGCTGGCCTCCAACTCATGGCAATCCTACCTCGGCCTCCCAAGAGCTGGGATTACAGGCAAGCACCACCACACTGGGTAAAATTCTTTATTTAAAAAGGTTTTATTTTTGGCTGTTTTGGGGTTTTTGTTTTTGTTTTTTTTTTTGGTACCGGATGAACTCAGGTCCTTGGGCTTGCGCAGCAGGTGGCGAAACCACTGAGCTAAATCCCTGGCCCCAAGGGGTTTTTGTTTTTTGAGACAGGGTCTCACTAGGTAACCCAGGTTGGCCTCAAACTTGAAATCCTCCTGCCTCAGCCTCCCAAGTGCTGGGATCACAGGCATGTACCACCATGCCCAGGAAAAAAGTGTTAATTTTAAAAAATGGTCATAAATTGCTTTTAGGCCAAGAATAAAAATTAGGTTCCTTTGTAGCTATGGGACATTTTCATTTGTCATTACCTATCACTCATTCTCTCTAGAGACAAAGGTCTGAAACTTCAGTTACTACCACATAGTTTTCAGACCTCTAACATCAGAAGAGCTCTCATTTTTTTTTTTTTTTTTGTACTGGGGATTGAACTCAGGGCCTTGTGCTTGTGAGGCAGGTGCGGTGCCACTGAGCTAAATCAAAAGCCCCTAAGAATTTTTAAGATTGTGTTTCTAAATTGTTTTTGAAACATAGCTAAGGATATAGAATGAAAGCTACAAGAACTCTGTGGGTCTGTATATTTCCAACTAAGAAAAGCCATTATCTCTTATGGTGCTTCTTTGAAAGTTTTTCTTTTACCAAGTATGGTGTCAAATTAAACTACAAAGTCTACTACAATAAAAGAACTTTGTTCTGAATGATTTTTTTTATAAAGCCCTCAGAGAAAATTCTAGAACAACTTCCTTTTACACAAGAGACAGTCAATGACAAATACCTTGATTACATACTCCCAAAGCAACATACAAGAACAAACAATAAAGCCAAGCATAGTGGCACACACACCTGTAATCCCAGCTTACTGGGAGACTGAATCAGGAAGATGGCAAGTTTGAGGCCATCCTGCGGAATTTAGCAAGACTTTGTTTTAAAATAAAAAATTAAAGGTTTGGAGTTGTAGCTCAGTGAGAAGATGCTGAGTTCAATCTCCAGTAGCGAAAAGGAAAAAAAAGACTCAAGAGGGCCGGGGATTTAGCTTAGTGGTTTCGCCGCCTACTGCGCAAGCGCAAGGACTTGAGTTGGATCCCGGGTACCAAAAGAAAAAGGACTTAAGACACCATCCAACTGGTATTAAATGTTTGCCTAAGTTCACATACCAGTAAGTGGCAGAACAAATTTAAAACCAGGTCTGTCTTATCTCAAGTTCTCTCCACCATAATAAACCACCTTCCTCATTTCATTATTGCTATGCTTAGAGGTTAAAGCTATCTTTGGAATCTAATCTTGACTCTTTTGTATTATCTTGCATAATCAATGGTATAAGCCTACAGAAACAGAGTACAGGCTCTCATGGGTAATGTATAATAAATTTTCATCCTTTTTTAACTTCTCTCTAGGACTTGCACATAGCACCCTTCCAAACCATCCTTTACCCTTAGCCCAAATATCTTCACCCTCGCAGTACTAACATTGTACTCCCAATTATTACTGAAATATGATGAGGCCAGAATGTTTTCATTGTCACTTGTTTTTCTTGCTGCCCTCTGACCACGATTTAAAGCCTTACCCCCAAAAACCTTGCCTCCAGGATTGTGGCCACAGATAGTTATTTGGATGAATCCTAGGGTGCAGCACTTCTCAATACGAAAACCTCTAATTAAGAAAACAAGTCATGTGTTTTCTCTCCTTCATACACCCAATATCTGAGAAAGAGATAGAATAACTGTAACAGAACTCCAATTCAAAACAGAAGAATGGAAACATAACAATCACTGGTTTGTAGCAATAAAATAGTGGTCAGTAACCATGCAAAATGATGGCTTCTGTAATGTTCCAAAATACACTGTCCTCCTGGGCACTCATTACAGGAGTTATATACTGCTTACCTATCAACTAAGGCTGACATTAGGCCGTTTTTCTTAAACACAGCATCAGCAATGCTTTATGAATTTAAAAAAATAACCATCAATTTATAATATACCAGCAAACCATTTGTGTGGAAGCTAGAGTTCATTCCCAAGGGAAAGAAATATTAAAGAATTAACTTTATGGGACACTTGAGCTTTGGTCATTATTTTTATAAATTAGTAAGCCCAAAGTACAGGAGTTCTTTGTTGAGATAATTTTAAAAGTACACTTTCCAAAAATAGTTTTATACTCTAAGTATGCCTTTTACATTGCACAAAGCAGCCAAGTAGAACTTCATCTCCTAAAAGTTCCAATAGTTGGTATCACTTTAGTAACATTATTCAGTGGTGAACTATACTTATTTTTTTTATGCTGAAAATTCAGTCTTTAATTTTTAAAAATCAATTTATTAAATTTCCACACCTGCCTCATGTTCTGTTGTCATACTTTAAATGCCCTTTACACCTTAATGTTGTTTTTCTTAGTACCCAACTAGATATTCATGGTTTAATTGAACAAATAAAAATATGGCAAAATTTTTTTTTTCAGAATCCAGGCTTGAACCCAGGTCCCTTGTCCTGAGCTGTATCTACATCCTCATTTTGATTTTTACACTGCAGCTCCCTGTAGTGTCCTGTGTGAGTCTGTATCAGGAGGCTCAAGGGTCCGTGCCAAAAGGTTGAAGGGTCTCCATTTTTTGCTTTTAAATTCTGAGTAGGGTCTTAAGTTGCTAATTGCCCAGGCTGGGCTCAAACTTGCCATCTTCCTGCCCAAGTCTCCCAGAATGTTGGGATTGTAGGCACATACCACCATGCTTGGTGGAAAAAGAAATTCTGAAGCTGCTCTGATCTCTCCCTTTCAAGTTTTTAGGTATCAGTTTATATCAGTGGTTCTCAAATAGGGGCAATATTGTCCTCCATGGGTCCTTTGGAAATGTCTGGGGACGTTTTTAATCATCACAACTTGGTGTCTACTAGCACCCATCAGGTAGAGGTCAGAGATATTGCTGATAATCATCCTACAGTGCACAGGAGAGCCTCCCATATTAAAGAATTAGCCTTTTACCAAATATCAATACTGCCACTTTTAAGAAATTCTGGTCTAGATGGAATTCTATTATTTCCTCTACAGTTGATACAATAAAATATACTTCAAACACCAATCTCAGAACACCATCAGTATCTACAGTTATTTATTCAATAAATATTTATTGAGTAATATTATGGCAGGCACTGTGGAGATAAAGGAAAGTAAGATATTTACTACCCTTAGAATTGTCCAGTGGGAGGGCCAGCGATTTAGCTCAGTGGTTCCACTGCCAGCCTCACAAGTGCAAGGTCCTAAGTTTGATCCCCAGTACCAAAAAAAAAAAAAAAAAGAATTGTCCACTGGGAGAGACCCTTTAATAAACAACCCACAAAACCTAGGTTCTTACTAGAAATTTTTTTTTTTGGTACCAGGAATCAAACTCAGGGTGTTGTACTTGCCAGGCAGGCACTGTGCTGCTGAGCTACATCCCCAGCCCTTACTAGAAAATTCAACACTGTCTATTATCTATTCCTGTGAGGAGCCTTATTGAGGGAAATAGGTAAAAAATTATCTGAAAGACATGCAGCCTATATACCTAAATTGAAGTCCTTGAATTCAGCTGAATAATGAAGGCCATATACTTAGACTATATTAAGTCCTTAAAGAAATGCCTTAAAATCCATGTTTAGATTATACTATTTTCATTGAAGAACATTATAACAATTGTGTGAAACCCTTTACTTACTTCTATAGAATCCTGTATATACCATTTGGTAATACCTACATGAAACTACTTGTTTTTTTTAGAAATTAAAATTGGAGTGGGCTAGGGATATAGCTCAGTGTTTCCAGAGCCTTCCTTGCAAGCGCAAGGTCTCGAATTCTATCTCTGGTACCAAAAAAAAAAAAAAATTGGAGTGTTTCTTCGTCTGTGATGACAATTACACAACTGTTTCTCCTCATTCTGAGGGGAATGCTAGGTCACTTACAGAGCCAACAATGAAGCTTAACTGTTTTTTGACCTGTACAAAGCCTGAACATTTGTGTATTTCCCCATCCCTGACCCAACTGGTCTTAGCTGGTATTTTTCTTTTCCTCTTTGTGGACAGTTTGATCTTATTTATATTTTACCATCATTTTATTAGATTTATTCTTGCAGAAGGTGGTGTCAATATATAAAATGTGGTTGGGTATGAATAAAATAAAAAGTGAGGCCAAATAACAATAAAACAATTATCTTAGTACTGCTAGGGATATGTACTGGTAGCTCTGATGCTTGAACAAGATCCCACAACAGAGCGAGGGTCACACAAAACTTCCTGAAAGAGCTCATGACTGAGCTGAACACGGACAGAAATGCCAGGTATTAATTAAAGACAGTATAAGGTGGGGAAATAGTCCAGACAAGAAATAACAACAGGTGTTAAGGGGTAGGTGTGAGAGAACTGTAAGTGGTTTGCTTTTATCAGATGAGAGTGTGTGTGGGGAGTGGTTGGACATGAGACTTAAGAGGTACTTTAGATGCCACTCTGAACCGTGGTCTAAAAAGCATGATTAAAAATATGAGAACAGTCAGTTACTGTTTAATAAAGAAAGGAAAAGGTGGCCCCCATCAATTTCCACAAATGGCAGGCATCTTTAATAAGTAACAGAACCTCTAAAATGGATTAGGAAAAAAAATCCCAATCTTGTCTTCAACCCCATCCCCACCCCTTACTAACATTGCCATTAAAAAAGAGGGTCTGTCACAAATGGCACAAAGGGAGTAAGTCAGTGATCTTTGGACAAAAACACAAGAATCCTGATTCCCAGATTTCCCATTCTCCTTTGCATCTGGTATTATCTGGACTTATAAGCAGTTCTAATAAGAAAAACTAAGGAATTCTGATAACCATTCATCTTACTCAGGGAAAGCAGTCAGAATCTGTTATGATTTCATGTTTCCAATTGTTCCAATCACAGTTTCTAATACCGAAACAAAACTGCTCAGTATCTCAGTCCTTGTCTCACTTTGTTTCACAGAGATCTGCATTTCTGAGTTCTTGGGCTCCAACAGCAGTTCTGTTAAGAACAGACAACCAGTAGCATCCTGAGCACTGAGGTAGGCTTTCCATGGCCGAGCCCCAACCCTGCTCATTGCAATGGTCTGAATGTTCACTACCTGCAGAGCCATCTGGAGGGTGTCAGGATGAACTTCTCCCTGCCAAGGCAACACCTGCTGATGAGCAACTTTGAGGCTAAGCCAAGTTTTCTCAAAATATTCAGCAGTAAGCTGGCAATTGGGGATTAGCATGAGAGCTTCAGTATCAGGGAGTTCTTGTACTCTCTCCTTGTTCTCTTCAGAAATCAGGTGTCCTAAAAGAGTCAGAGAGCTTGCATAAGAGATGTTCTTAACATGTATGAGTTATATTTTTAATTTACATTCCTAAAAGTATACAATGTAGTTTCTTTTTTCTTTTTCATGTGTAGCCTTTATTTTTTAAAAAAATAAATTTTATTTTATACAATGTGATTTCTGTCTTTGGATAAGTAGCTTAAATAACCAATGATGAGCTTCTTTCTGGCTCATAAAGGCCTTAAATTCTGCTAACAGTTGAGATTTGTTTTAGCTAGGGCACTGTACTTCCTACCACTCACTGCAAAAGATAAAGATTTATCATGACAAGGTGCATGATAAGAACTGTTTTCACCTGATGGAGCAAAGGATGCAGTACGAGGAAGCTCTGGGCCACACTGCTCTGTCCCTTGGCGTTTAAATATAGTTGCCCAATGGGCTTTGCCATACACTGGCACCAGGGTATTAAAGTCTGAAGCCCAGCTATTCACAGGTCTTTCTGGTTGATCCTCCAAAAGTCCGAGAGAAGGGTCCGATTTAGGACTACACAGGATCTGCTTAACTTCATCAATGCCAAGTAAAAGGAGGCGGTAATAGAAGAGGCCTCGGTCCCGTACAGCCATATCCTTTTCTTCCTCTGTGATAAAACAGACTGAGTTAATTAAAACAAAAACACTCTCCTCCTACCTTGTGCTAACCATAAGAGGAAAAAAGAATGAAAGAGGGAGGAAATCTAGCAAGTATTAACATTTTCTTCTCCCGTCCCACACATGATTCACCAACTTATGAAGGCTGAGAGAAATTGTACTATGGGTCATGGCAAGCACTACTTCCTTCTGAAAAACCCACCTATGCAGTAATATAACAGGCGTCCCAGCATGTCTTGGCACTCAGCAGGGCGTGAGAGAAACAGGCGCAGCAGTGCAGTGAGGAGCTCCATCTTAACAGCAGGAAATGTCTCTGACTTCACACTTTCTACAAAGTCCTCTAAAACATAAGGAGCATTGGGAATTCTTTCTCCATGGACCCCAAGTAGCCAAATAAGTGCCTGTTTCCCCTAGGAATGGAAGAACAGAAACAGGTGCTCAAGCCATGGCTGCCCAAAATAGGAGATAGTAAAGAATGACTGGTTTTGCTTTTCCCCTAGTGCCAGCAGAAAAGATATAATCTTTTATTTATTTCAACTGGGATTGCGTTACCCCCTCCCAACTACACTCTCTACAACAAATAGGAATGAAGTTCTAATGCTCAACAGGAAACTCAAAACATTCATAACCCATGCTGAGTAGGAAATAAATAAAGCCTTTTCAACTTTGGAGCCTCTGGCCCAATTTGGGGTTTAATTTTTCAGTAGAAGCTACTGAATGAATTTCTCTAAACCTTATTACCCTGGGCTGGGGATTTAGCTCAGTGGTTCCAGCGCCTGCTTCGCAAGCGGAAGGATCTGAGTTTGATCCCTGGTACCAAAACAACAACAAAAAAACCCAAACAAATAAACCTTTTATTACCCTAGACTACACATTAAAGGCATCTGTGAAGTGTTTTAAAACTGTTAAGTCGATCCGTTAATATTTAATTGAACAGATTTTAGATGAAACCCAAATTTTTAAAAAACTTCCACAAATGATTCTGATTCTCATTCTAGATGAAAACTCCATGATCTGAATCTCTGACTCAAAATAGTTCAGGAGACCAATGGTATCAAAGAATTTATCATAAAAACGATACATAAATCCTGTTTTTATAATTTACATGCCATTTTCCTTCAAAAGAGAATCTGAGGTGCAATTAATCATAAGAGTCTCTGCTTCAGGCACAAGATACAAAGAAAAATTAGTCTATTTCAGAATGCCAGGTCCTAAGCATTCCCTCTATGCCTGGAAGTACAAGAGATTTATAGTCTACCTCACTGTCTTGAATGTTCTCCTCACAGCTGAGCAGGGCCTGACACACAGCTTCAGTACACTGAGGACACAACCAAACAAGGTCTCGGAAAGTCTGTAGCACCACTACAATACAGCCCAAGATACAAGAGTACAGGGTTAGAGCCTCCACGCAGGAAAGAATCTTGAGAAGAATCATGCATTCAGACTAGATTTCTGTACAACAGGTTTTGGAGGGTGGTCACTGATTACCTGAGAAATGTTTGGGGTGTGTAGTAATTTCTTTCATGAATGTTACTCTTACCAGATTGACATGGACATAAATGAGCTAACATATGAAAAAGTACTTTGTAAAATATAAAGCTATATGCAAATATAGAGGAGTATTGTTGTTGAATGATACTCAGAAGACAGTATGAATGAGTCACCAAAACTGGGAATGTATTGAGGCAACTTAGGTGTCTCAGGTACAAATATTTAAAGGGTGTCAACTGCATGAAATTAACAGTGAGTACCTTCCTAAATTTTGCATTGTAGGGACTGTACTTCCTTCACCCAATTCCCAGGTCCAGAAGCAACTGCCTAGAATAAACTGCCACAAAGCAAAAAAAAGAGGGGACGTAGAGATGGGGAAATAGCAAGTACAGTCATCTTGTACCTTCATTATCTAAAGTACAGTCTGTTAACTCATGAGAGCCTGAAGACTTCAGCCTATTATATCTACGGATCCTGTGATTCTCTGATAGCATCAGATAATAATGCAAAGAAAAGATTAAACTTTTATATTAGTCACGGAACAAAAAATTTGTGAGCGACTATACTATAGGCCGGGCACTGAACAACAACAACAAAATCCTAGAAAGATATCCATTACCTGTAGTAATGTGCTCTTGTCGGAGCCCCAGCAACTCTGTGAGAATCTGCACACACTGATCTGTGTAAGTCCTGGCAATGCCACCTACAGAGGAAGGAAAGTTAAAGAACTGTTAAATCACACACTAGCACTTCATTTGAAAATCATTTCGTATTAGTCAAAGACAAAGACGATCAGAGATACCTAAAACAAAACAAAACCACTCCTTATTTGATAAAATAAGAATCTAAGTTTGCTGTAAAGGGAATTTTGGTAAAAACAAATCTATTTTTTGAAGTTGAACACTAGAAAACTGAAATTCATAAAAAAAGAATTTCCCATAAAACAAAGTATTTACAAGCCAGATCTGAGGCACCCTTTCTTTTTTTGGTACCGGGATCAAACTCAGGACCTTGTGCTTCCGAGGCAGGTGCTGTGCCACTGAGCTAAATCGCTGGCCCTGAGGCACCCTTTCTGCTACTGCACACCCATACAGAAATATCCCTGCTGGGAAAACTTGACAGCGGTCTCTCAGCCACAAGGATTTCTCCTCTCTTATTTCCTCTCTCTTCTCTGTCCCTCATAATCATACTTTATTTCAAATATAAGGGTTCTTCCTCCTTGAAGCTCTCGAAAACAGCTCCCCAGCTGCTTTATTTTTGAGTCACTCCAGCCTTTTAAGTTCCAGACAGAATAGCCTAATAGTCTGTAAGATTTAGGAATTATTCTGTGTTGGTCTAAAATTAACACCGCACAAAGGCCATAACAGAAGCTCAATAAATGGCTAGTGAATTGACATAGGACTCTGAATCAGGACAGCTGGGTTATAGGCCCGGTTCAGAAACTATATGATCTTTTGGAAATTTAATAACCTTTTTTGTGCCTAGGTTTGTCTTAAAAATGAAGTTAATAAGCCAAGTGTACTGGCACATGCCTGTAATTCCAGCACTCAGGAGGCTAAGGCAGAAGGACTGCCGTAAATTCAAGGCCAGCTTGAACTATATAGTGAGACCCTGACTCAAAAAATAAAACAAAACAAAGCAAAAATCCAAAATGAAGTTGATAACATCTGTCCACTTTTCCTGACTGCCTCACATGACTATGGTGGTATTTTTTTTGGTACCAGGATCGAACCTGGGTCCCTGCGCCTGCAAGGCAGGCGGCAGAACCACTGAGCTAAATCCCTGGCCCTTCACATGACTATGGTGTATAAGATGATGTATAAGAAAGGATTTGAGATAGAAGACAACAAAAGACAATATAAATTTTAAGTACTATAGTTTGAGTTACCTTGTATATTCTATCTTGGAAAAGATAAACAGAAAAACAATCTCCTTTCCCCTTTGCTTGTAATCACTGACCAAATTCTTTAGTTATATGGTACTTTATCTCTGAAGCAAGATTCCTTTTCTTCTGCCTTCTATGGTTCCTCTGATTATAGCTTTCCAGCTGGCTGGTCTAGGCACCCAGGAAGGAAAAGCAGCAGATACCTACCAATGGCAAAGATGGCAGCCTGTGCAAAGTCAATAGACACATCAGTGCAGTATCCTTGAAGCTCCTCAAGCACCTGCTGGACGTTCTCATCGTTCACCAGCTCACACAGTACCTCCACCTTCTGTAGCTTGATATAGTGGGGCTCCCAGTAGGAGCAAAAAAACTTTTTGTAGTGGCTGCTAAAGTGACCTGGCAAACTATGCAAGATCTGGCGCACATGACAGAGGGCGACAAAACAGAGCTCCCTGCTCTCAGAAGAACAAGCAGCAAGCAAAGGTCCCTTGACTCTCACAAGCACATCAGTTTGCACATGGGGGAACTTCTTTGCCAAAATCAGAAAGAGTTTGGTGGCTCCTGTTACTACACCGGGGCTGCTACTCTTGAGAAAGCTATCCAACAGGTTGAGAATGTCAAACAGTTCCTCCTCACTGTGGGGTTGGTAGCGGAGCAGATAGTTCAACACTTCAGCCTGGCCCCATTGGTCCAGTTTCGACATCCTATCCAAGAAAGAAAACAAAAGCACTATTTTACCAACAAAATTCGAGCCATCTCCATGCTACTGCCTTTTTGCAGGCAGCTGTTCTTCATAACAGAAAAGACTTCTTAAAAATAGGAAACACTATAACCAAATCATTTTTTTTTTACATATTACTTAAAGTCAACACAAAATAGTCTTTAAATTCCAAGATGGGTTTACATATGACCAGTATACAACTAGATCCAGATTCTTTATATTTTAAGAAACTATACATGGCTTAATGACCGCAGGGGAATATCCTATCCCCAAAGGATGTTTCTGGCAACTCTAGATATCAAAAGAAACTTGCTGGGGATTTACCTCAGTGGCACAGTGCCTGTTTGGCAAGCACAAGGTCCTGAATTCAATGCCTGGTACCAAAAAAAAAAAGAAACTAAAGCAAATAAAAGACATTTTCTCAGTGAAATGTAAGGAAGTTAACAACTATGATTAACTGTCTTTTCTACCCTACACAAGCTGTCCAAGACTTCTTAATTCAACATGTCAATAAGATCCTACCAGGATATAGAGATTGTAAGAAAAAGAGCACTCAGGCATCCAAACCGATTTAAGAGATGGTGAGCGATGGGCTTATTGATGACAACACCTCCTTCATATTTCAGAATTTCCTCTAGAGACCTTAAGCAGTTCACAACCACAATTGGATCTTGGTCCCGCAGTAAACTGTATAACTCATTTACCAGGGCACCGTCTATAAAGAAGAATAAAAAAATAAAATAAAGTAAAGAAGAATAAAGATCTCAGATAAAGAAAATCTTCAATTATAGGGATAAAGCCAGAGAAATAGCCCCAGGCAAACAAAACTGACTTCTCTGCTACAAAAATAAGAAAGGCAATAACAAAGTGCAAGACACAGAGTAAGGGGGAGATAAAGATAAAAGAACTGAAATTATAAACAAAAAAGATTGAAAAATTAAAAAAGAAAAAAGTACAAAGTAAAACTTTGCCATCTCCAGGCTGTTTTAAGTAGCTAATGCAGAGTTTTACTTGGGCCCCAGAGAAAGGACTTCTCTTATCTTACAAAATATCAAAGCTTGCATCCTATTTAAAGAGACATTCAAAGTGAAGCCACATTATTATTTTCTACCAAAGCTACATCTTTTCCAAAGTCAGATACATAACAAAAGTATGAATAAGTACTGATCATGGTGGATTACACTGAACTCACCCACTTCAGAGTCTCCGTGAAGGTTATGCATTTTGGCACATCCAAGAACTGCCACCCTCCTAACATATGAAGCCTTATCCCGCAGACCATTGAGAATAGGCTGTTGGATATACTCCTGCACACCAGGCATCCTAGGCAACAGATCTTGAAGTCAGTGAGATCCTGAAATACTAGCTTTGACATAATTAAGCTCTTCTTCACATAACAAGAGTGTTTAGCAGATGTGTGAATGTACACCTATCAGATCACAAGGAATTAGAAAAAGCCTCTACCAAAAGCCATCATTCCATTTATGTGGAATAACACTGCACAGACAGCAAAAATTGCTATTGTAATAACTGGTTAAAATTCTTTAACCAAAACCAAGGACTATTTTATCGAGAGTGAGAATAGAAAATTTCCTTTAATAAAACCACGAGGGAGAGGACGAAAAAGGGATGTTAAAGAAATTAAGACATCTTATACACATATAACAATTTCCCATGATGAATGTAATCATTATGTATTGCAAATGTGTACTAACTAAAATAAAAACTACAAAAACAAGAAAAAAACCCGCAAAACCTTATGATATAGTTTATAAAGCCAAAGTTATGGCTGAAAATCTGAATTCAGGGTACAAAAGTGTTTTCCTTAATATTAAGGAGCTCAAATAAATTGTCATCACTAGAAACCTTCTGTGGCCTTCTCTCCATAAGCCTTTGAACACCAGGCAGGGCAGAGAGTGCTTACCTGAGGCTACACATGCTCCGCAGTGCCAGCCCTCGCACCATTGGGTTGGGGTCCGAGCAGTCTTTGCACAGGGTATTGATGGCCAGGAGAGCTAGGTCTGGTTTCAGGGGTGCATACGTGCACATGTACAGGTAAACCAGCTTCTTCTGAACAATATCTACAGTGGCACTGGCCTTCACCATTTCCATGAAAACACAAGACATGTCCAAGCCCTGAGTCATGTGCCTGCAACCAAAATAGATTGCAAGAAGAAGTAAAATACAAAATCTTCAACCTATGATGGAAGGAGTTGTACTTATACATGCTCTAGTTATCCAAGTAGATTGTGATCTCTTAGAGGGATGCAACTGGGTCTATCTTCTTTATTACAGGACACAGTACTTCACACCATGAGCATGGAATAAACACTGTTATTCTACTAGTTCAATACTTGTTGAACCCCCAGTACATCCCAGAAATTCACCTTTTACATTCCAGGGACATGCTCTGGAGATGAAATCTCTAAGAACATATAGTCCCAGACCTCTAGGAACTCAAGCTTATTTAAGGAGCCAGAGAAGAATACCATGAATTACAATACACTAGGTAAGTATTTAAACAAAAGTAATGTAGAAGATATAGAGGGGATCCAAAGGGCAGACACCACAGAGAAGTCAAAAAATGTTTCTTCACAGAAGTAATACTTTAGCTGAATGATCAGGAAGCTTATTAGGCAGATGTGACAAGAGCTAATAATGTATGCTATGAGGCAGGGAGACATGAGCAAGAACAGAACATTCTTTTGAGAATCTACAGGTAGTTGAATTAACAGTGTGATCCTTGGGGGAATGCTAACAAGTTGGAACTGCATTTTGTAGATCACTGTTTCTCAAATTTTTGATGTTTGTTAAGGTACAGATTCCTGTATTCCATCTCACCCTACTGAAATCAGAATCAATTGCTGAGTTGCAAAAACCCAAATAATGAACAATAAAGCATGCCGAAGGTCTTTTGTACTTACTAGTCTGTGAACCAGAGCTGTAAGCACAAGTTATGTGTTCAGATTTGTAATGGAAAAATTCGAAATGAATTCCAGAGGCAAGGTGACCTACTAGTAAGCTGGCTTTGGTAATGAACCAAAACAACAAAAGTGCCAATTAAAAAAAAGAGAGGATAAAAGAGAGGATATTTAGAATTATTCATACCATTTGACATGAGAAGTGAAGGATCAGGTGTCATCAAGGTTGACTGGCATGCTTAGTAGGCTGTCGGGTGACATTCCGAAACAAACATACGCAGAACAGCAGGTTTAGGGAGGAGGAAAAAATACTAGTGCTATTTTTGCCATACCTTTGATGAACTATCGAGGTGAATATGCCAAGCAGACAGTGGGATATGTGAGTCTGAAGCTACAAATGGAGATCTGTACTAGACAATTATAGATCCAGGAGTCAGCAGTGTGTGTAATTGTTCCAGCTCATGACATGAAAGAAATCACTCAGATGAGTAAAAGATTCCACAAGAGAGACTAAGATAGTATTCCAGAGAAGCAGGATAAGACCTGTGTGAAAATTCATTTACTGTTTTGGGGTGAAGAGCTACTGGAAATTGTAAGGTGGGCTGGGGACTGGGTGGGAGATGGGACGCTAAGACAGGCAGGTGATACCTAATCACTCGCTGGATGACATTCCGGTAGCGCAGCCTATCAGCCTGAATGTGAGGGTTACACAGAGCCTTCTTCAGTTCCTTCACCACGTCCTCTGAGCCAAGGTACGGCATCTTCCACAGTCACGGAGTAGTTCGCACAGATCCCTAGGTAACTTGTAGGCTCCTTCTAGACCTGAGGTGGGAGCCTGAGTAAAGGAAATGTGGGTCAGTGAAAAGATCGAGATCTCGCCCCAGCCTGGTTTCCCTCAGGGCAGGAACCTATTTGCTCAGACACCGACACTTCAACCTCCTTAGCTCCCCCAACGCCCTTTAGACCCTAAAATTAGACCCGCGGGCTGCTCGCCCCGCCCACAGACCTCTCGGGCTCTCAGGCCCAGCAAGGATTTCCGACCCGCAGCTGACAGGCCGCAGAGCCCTCCCTCTCCAGGGTCAGTCAGAGCAGCCTCAGAGCAGCCGCTGTCACCGATAGGCCCAATCAAGCTTTCGGCGGAAGTCCCGCCCGCTCGCCGAGAAACCCCTCGGAGCAGCTGCCACTCCCGCTGCGATCGTCGAGAGCTGCCCAGACCTCGACCTTAGGGTGCCCTTCCCCCAACCTCTCACCTCAGGCGCAGCCGCGCGGCTCGGGGGGAGCTGCGGCGGGCGCTCGGAGATCGGTTACTTGGGGCTGTCTCCTCCCAGCAGCGCGCGCTTTGATTCCGGCTCGGCCTCCGCTCCCGCGCGCGGGTGGGAGTGGCTCTGTGTGAGCGCCTTCCGCCAGGTGGACGCCCGCCACGGACACCCCCACGGTCACTTCCTTCTCCCTGCCCACTCTAGTACCTTATTCCTCTACCGAGTTGGCATTCCTGTAGGGCCCCTGGCCTTGTTCTTGCCCCAGCATGTTTTCCGGGGCGCCGTTGTGGAATCCTCACGCAGAAGCTCTGGCCTCACGAAGACCCCACTGTTGACTCCAGCCTCGCCACCATGAACGGGGTCCTGATCCCCCATACGCCCATTGCTGTGGACTTCTGGAGCCTGCGCCGGGCTCGTGCCGCGCGGCTCTTCTTCCTGTCCCACATGCACTCGGACCACACGGTGGGCCTGTCTAGCACTTGGGCCCGGCCCCTCTACTGCTCCCCAATCACTGCCCACCTCTTGCATCGTCACCTACAGGTACGGGGTTGCATTTGGCCTTTGAGAGCTGGACCAGGCGTTTGGGTGGAAACTTCCGATGTCTTCATAGCCTTGGAATCACTGAGTGGGATCCAGGAGCATTAATTTTTACATACTCAGAAAATGTTTGAGCTCAGAGGTGCATCTTTGGCTCAGAATAGGTGTGTGACTTCCAACCGACCTACTGGAGATGTTTTAGCTCTAAGCTGGGAAGATCATTGAGTTCAATCAAGAGAATTATAATTACCTTTTTTTTGGTACCGGGGATCGAACTCGGGACCTTGTGCTTGCGAGGCAGGCGTCGGAACCGTTGAGCTAAATCCCCAGCCCATAATTACCTTTTCAATTAAGGTAGTTTCTCAAACTTGCCTTAAAAATCCACTTAGGGTGGGGATGTGACTCACTGGGAGTGTGCTTAACTACAATGGGCAGGGGCATTGTGCTGGGTAAATCTGGATTCTCCGGCCTTCCCCCTACTCAGTAAATACGGTTGGTGTGGGTCCTAAGAATCTGGCTGGAATTTTTAGAAAACCATTGTCTCCAAGGGATTATTATGATCAGGAGAAAATTTGAGAATCTTTGACTATTTTCAGATTTTTAATTGAAAGCCTAATAAAGGTTGGGATAGGGAGTGGGAAGAGAAAGGTGGACTCCTGATCCTGCAATGTGGGTGTCTGTGGCTTAACCAACTGTTTTGCCAGGTGTCTAAGCAGTGGATCCAAGTCCTGGAAGTTGGTGAGAGCCATGTATTGCCTCTGGATGAAATTGGAAGAGAAACCATGACTGTAACCCTCATCGATGCCAATCACTGCCCTGGTTCTGTCATGTTTCTCTTTGAAGGATACTTTGGAACCATTCTCTACACAGGTGGGCCTCCCAAGATTTCCCTTCCACTTGCCAGCTAAGATACTACTTTGAGCAGCCTTCACTTATAAAAGAAGTCCACAGGCCTTCTATCTTCACCCCATATAAGCACAGTGATCCTTCTGAACTGATTTCCCATCTTTGATGGTTCAAACCTTGTAAAGAGTATGTAATTAAAAACAGGAGCAGGATGAACACATTTCCACAAAGAAGCTGTATTGCACAGGGCACATAATAGTTTTTCCACAGATCAGTAAGCAAATGCTCATCAGTTGTTGGAGGTGAGAGAGGCTTGTTTTTTATCTTTTTGTCTCTGACCCTCTGCCTCCCCCTAATATATTCTTGCAGGTGATTTTCGATATACACCATCCATGCTGAAGGAGCCAGCCCTGACCCTGGGGAAGCAGATCCATACATTATATTTAGACAACACCAATTGCAACCCAGCCCTGGTTCTTCCTTCCCGACAAGAAGCTGCCCACCAAATTATCCAGCTCATTCGAAGGCACCCACAACATAACATAAAGATCGGTGAGTTGTTTCCTTTTTCTCTCACCCATAGCTAGCAAATATAGGTTCTTTGAGGGTTCTTCTATCTTTCAAGTCTTTGTTCATCTCTCACTTTCACCATGAAACCTACCCTGACCACCTGATTTAAAATTGCAACCTTAACACCATCCACACATCCACATTTCCAACTCCTGATCCCCTGTATCAATCCAGTCTTTTCTTTTATAGTACTTATAACATCCCCATAGTGTCTATATTTATTTATTGAGGCTGTGGTTTTTCTGAGACAGGGTCTTGTCATGTAGTTCCAGCTGGCCTTGAGCTTACTGTGTAGCCCAGGTGGGACTCAAATTCACAGAAATTCTCCTGCCATAGCCTCCCAAGTGCTAGGATTACAGGTGTGCACCACCATGCCCAGCAATTAGTTTACTTATTTACTTACTTTGAGACAAGGTCTTGCTATGTAGTCTAGACTAGCCTTAAACTCTGGATCTTCCTGCCTCAGCTTTCCAAGTGTTAGAATTATAGGCATGTGTCATGACGTTTTTAATATATTGTTATTGTGGTTGCTTCAGTAGCAATATACTAATATGCTGTTATTATTTATTGTCTGTCTCCCACTTCCCTTGTTGTGTACACATACACACACAGATATAAACTCCTTGACCTCATGGATAGAAGTGGGAAGAAGCTTTGCATGTTTGTGAAGCACAGTAGCAGCAGCCAGTGTGACAGTGTAGAGTGAGCAAGGAGGCTGGAAGGCAGGAGGGGCTGGATGGCTGCTAGGAACTTGATCCTAAACCCAACGAAGACCTATGAAGGGTTTTAAGTAGAAGAGGGACATTATTGCACCCATCACCTTATAATGTACTCCATAATTTCCATCTTTATTCTATTTACTGTTTGTCTGTCTCTCCATGGTAGAATGTAAGTTCCCCACGACATGTCTTTGCTTTATTATGGGTAAATTCTTATGTTAATTCCTGAGACAGAAGTATTCAATAAATGTGTTATAGGAATGAATGAAATTTATCAACAAAGATATGAGTGTTATGCTTTAAATTAGATACATTAATAAAACAGCTGTTTGCTTTCTCTAGCGATTCCACAATGGTCCAAAACATTTTGCAAAAGCAAGCACGGTGGTGCAGTCCTGTGATTTAACTCTGGGAGGCTGAACGGGAGGATTGCAAGTTTCAGTCCAGCCTGGGCAATTTAGTGACCTAGCAAGACTCTGTCTCAAAATAAAAAAGAACTGGGTGTGTAGCTCAATGTGAAGGCCTTAGATACAATCACAGTACAATTTCTTTTAAAAAGAGAGAGATAGATTCTTTTTTGGAGTTATCTTTTTGAGAGATAGTTTGTGAAAATCAATTTTTGTTTTAAAAATAATTTAGTTCTAGGTATTTTTTTGGTTGTTTCTAAAATTACAATAAGTCCATAAAAAGAAACCATTATGAATACTTCAAAAAGGAATATCCATCCCAACTCTGAAAGAGAGGTTAAACAAAACCACTGAAAAAATTATAATGCTAAGGGTAGGAAGTAAAAAAAGATTAAGATCCAAGTGAATATGTGCCCTTTCCCCAAGATGAATGTAATTATTATGTATCAGAAACATACACTAATAAATTGTATACCTTTCAAGATGATTATCAAATTGATTGAGAAATAGTCCTTACTCTCAGGATTGCTTAACTGCTCATATCAGCCCTACTATTATTGAAATTTTCAATGCAGAATTTTTTTCAGAGTAACATTGCTGGGTAGGAGGGTGCTGTGGTAGGGCTTGATTAATTTTGTAAATATGTAAGTCCCTACTAGTACAAAAGTATCAGATAGGCAGTGGGATATAAAAATCAGCAAAATATGGTCTCTGACTTTAAGGGTTGAGTCTAAGAAGGAAGGACCTAGAGACAAGATAAAATGGGAATACATACAGAGAGGGGAAAAAAAATCAGCTAAATTTGTGCCCAAAGACAGAAAATTTGAACCATATTTAGTAATATGGTAGATATAAAATAAATACATGTTCTTTTAAGGAGTTCACAGTCTGGTTGTGGATTTGAAACAGAGTTCAGAAAACATCTGAGAACAATATTAAATAACTTCCTAGATGTTACCATAACCCAAATTCACAGCTCCACTTTTTTTTTGTACCAGGGATCGAACTTCGGTCCTTGCGCTTGCAAGGCAGGCGGTGGCACCACTGAGCTAAATCCCCAGCCTCTCCAGTTATTTTTTTGTTTTGTTTTGTTTTGTTCTGTTTTTTGAGACAGGGTCCCACTAGGTAGTTCAGGCTGGCCTTGAACTCACAGACTGTCTGGCCTCAGCCTCCCTAGTGCTAGGATCACAGTTGTGTGCCACCTCACCCAGCTCCTCTCCATTTATTTCTATCTGATGCTCCCAACTGGCATCTTTTCATCTATGCCATTAAATAACACTGCTGCTTCCCCCCCAAAAAATACCCTGTTCTGCTCTTATTCCTCATTATAATGAGCTGTTTTCCTGCATACTGCTGAATGGCTCCCCTTCACTTACAGAATTAAATCCCCCTCCTCAGCAGTACATACAATGCCCTCTAATAAATGACATTGGCTTACCTCTCTGGTGTGATTTCTCATCAATTTCTTCTCTAGTAACACTGAAGTGGCTCCTCTTAAAATGTTTTCCAGCATAACCTCCCTTGCCAAGATTAACTATCCTTTGACGACTTAGCTCAGCTGTCATTTTCCAGAAACTTTCCCTAATTCTATCAACTGGTAGCTCCTCTTTTATGCTCTTATCACACTGTGTGCATATGTCTAATATTGCCCTTAACTGCACTGTTTCCAGGTCTGCATGTACCATATTTCCCCCAAAATAAAACCAGGTCTTATATTAATTTTTGCTCCAAAAGACAATAGGGCTTATTTTCAGGAGATGTTTTATTTTTTCATGTACAGAAATCTACATTTATTCAAATACAGTCATGCCATCTTCTAGAACATTGTCATAACTCTCCACAACCCCAAATTCTGGCCTGAATTTCTTGCGACTCCATTTCCTATAGAACCATTGGCTCCAAT